TCTATTGCCAAATTAAACCCAGAGTTCTCCGAGTAGGAATGAACCAGAATTGAGGTTATGATCGAGTTCAATTTAAATGACTGTGTTTCATATCTGGATAAAAGTTTTAAATGTTTTTAAAAACATCAATCCTTAACTTTTTAGATTATTTATACCTCTACTCTAGTTCAATAATGTGGCTGATGAGTTTATAAAAACACCAATAAGTTTATCTTTCTATACAATCATTATGTATATTTAACAAAATGAAAAAAAAATATTTTTATAAATATTCTCTTTTGTATAGAAAGTACCATACTCAAAAATATTTTTTCAACCTTTTTTTTTTCACTTTGCTAGTATAGAAATATAGCTTTTCATCCAAACTCAAGATCACTTGTAAACATTAAATATGGAGATTTTCCCACTTTAATAATGTTACTATCTATTCCATATCAAGAGGAATAAATGTGAATCCACTTGGAATATGTGGTTTTCTAAAGTGAATATTTTTAGTTGGTTTTATGATGTAATAAAAGACATCAGAGACAAACACACACACACACACACACACACACACACACACATACACACACGAATTTGAAAGAGAATATATAATTCAAACCCAAAGGGATTAGTTATAAAAATAACAACTGAATTAGATTTTATTAACAGGAAAGAAAACATTTTAAAGTAGAGGCCCATTATTTTGTTAAACAACATTGTTCCTTAGGATATCCTGCTAAATTGTTATGTGTGATAAGATTGGAGGGAAAAAAACTTGTCTTACCGAGTCATCAATCTTTCTGATCCTTTATTGATAAGTGACTTGAAAATATGAGCAAAATCCTGAATGAAGTGATGAGGAGAAAGAAATAATATTCTTTCGTACTTCATTGATTTGGGGATTTTTAAAGCTATTTTCTTCTCTTCCATTTATGCTTTTCTTTATACTATCTCTTATTCTAATTGAAGTTAAACAGATTCTATGTTGTTATAGTCACCATTATATTTATTATGTAATTATTAATATCTTAATCGGTAGATTTTTTTTCCTGGTCAAAAGATGAAATTATTTGTTGGATTGTAATATGTGCTATTCTATTTTCCTTAAGAAAAAAAACGTGGTTTCCTACAACTCAATTAATATATAATTGTAGGGAGGAATCATGAGAGGCCCAGAGAAAATAGTTCCCAGGTACTTGTCAAGTACATTAAAATACTTTTTTATTATTTAACGGTATACACTAAAACACCTTACAGACAATGAACAAGGAAGGTGGGCTTGATTAAATAACAGTATCCTGTGCATGCGATTCTTGCTGGTGGTGTACTGTGAGGAATATGCCCTTGTACTTGTGAAACGTAGTGAAGTCCTAAGGCCTGGAAGGGGAATGATGGTTCAAACATATGTACACACAGAACAAGAGAGGAAGAGAGAACACAGGAAGATGATTTAAAAAGCAAATGTGGCAAAATGTAAAAATTGGTGATTTGGGGTAAAGAGTTTTAAATCCTAGGGCTATTGTAACAAATGACCCCAATCTCGGTGGCTTAAAGCAACAGAAGTTTATTTTCTCACAGCTGTGGAGGCCAGGAATATAAAATCAAGGTGTCAGCAGGGACAAGCTATCTCCAAGAGGCTATAAAAGAGAATCTTTTTTTTTTACCTCTTCTAGCTTCTGGTGGCTGTCAGCATTCTTGGTGGCTGCAAAATTCTGATCTCTGTCTCTGTTTTCTCTTTGCCTCCTTCTCATCTCCATGGGCTTCCCTGTCTCTCTCAAATCAACCTCTGACTTTCTCTTTAAAAAACACTTGTTGGATTTAGGGTGCACCCAAAACTAGAATGCTCTCCTCATCTCAAGATCCCTAACTTAGTTACCTCTGTGAAAGCCCATTCTACAAGTTAGCTAGCATTACTAGGTTCCAGGGATTAGACATGGACATCTATCTTGGGGGTCCGCTTTCAACTGACTACAGGAGTATAAAGGATAAAGGAATTCTTCGCACAATTCTTGCAGCTTTTCCATAAGTTTAAAATTATTTAGGAGCAAAATATTGAAAAACAAAAAACAGATTACATTGTCAAATGCTATAATCAAAGATCATAGCATCTGACAAGCCAACTTTCTTTTAAAGATAAAACTTTAAAAAGTATGTACAATATACAAAATTGGAATAAGGTGTTTTGTGAATTTGTGCTTCATCATCATGCGTCGTTTGAAGTCAGTGGAGATTATGTGATGTCAAAACTCTCTTCCATGTTGTCTGGTCTCTCAAACTTTTGCTTTAATCTTCTTAGAACATTTAGGATATCAAAGGTCACTTTCATTTTAAAAGGAAGAACCGTGTTCTCAATTTTGCTCTTTGTAGGAAGACTAAATGAGACTGTCTATGATGTTAATTGCCACAAGATGACAACTTTTCTAAGATAGTAGGGTCTTGAAACCCCCCAAATATTTTTGTTTTGTTTGTTTGATCTTTGACTAATTTGTTTTCTTTTTTAAAAAAATGTATATAGATCATAAGAATCACCCTTTAAAATTTTTAAGCAGTCACTCTACCCTACATTTGATTGTTCGTTATCTATGTTTTGAGTTAATGTGACCCTATGTGGTATTTCTAGTGTAAAAAATGATAAATGAATTTAATCAAGTATGTTTATACCAAATAGCAATCTATTCACATAGAGCTGAAAGCATGATAACTAAGATGAGCATCCCCCGAAACAGCTGCAGAAAAAACATGAAGCATCTACACGCCATCACACACACACACACCTGCACACGGAACACACCTTTACACTGGGAAAAACTGAGTAGTAATGGAATAAGGATGGAAGACAAAATGCTTTGCTAACTGTAATAATTAGGTACTTAATGCTTGGTATTGGTCACTCTAGAAATGCTTCTTGAGGCTTGCAGACTGTGTGTGTGTGTGTGTGTGTGTGTGTGTGTGTGTGTGTTAGCATTCTGTCCCCAGTGTCTAGTACATTATTTATGTTAAGTAAATACTGGCTGCAGGAACACGCGTATCATGAGTAATTTAATTAATTAAGTCACACAACAAGCAAACACAGTCAAGCTTAAATGTGTTGAAGTTTCAATAATCATGGGGCTGATGGACCCTCTAATTAAATCTGTGTGTATGTGTATGAGTGTGTGTGCACACATATGTATGAGGCTTCTTTCCTTGGACAACCTTTAAGAATTGTGGCGTCGCAGGCCCAAGCTGAACGCAATCTCAGGTGGTCACCTGGTTCTGTGCCTTTCTTCAAGAGACAAGCAATTATTATCCCCATGATCTATTAAGCCACATTTTCTTTAGCATGTGACAGCTAAGGTGATACTGATCAAAAAATATTGCTCTTCATTCTTAAACAAGTTCACGTGCACATGGATGTTTAACAAGTGCTTTTGCAGAGAGATTATGAGAAAACCCTAGCAGCCTTGGTCCGGAGGAGTAATTTATGACAGCGAGGTAAATGGTGGCCAAGATCACCTTGATCACATTAGCCATGCACTGCTGTCTTTCTTTAACCCTGTTGACAAGTGGAATAAAAATAAGAAAATAAGAACACAGTGCATCCTACTTAACTGCTTACTCCATTGCTTCCGCTACTACCTGCTGCATCAGCTCATCGGTCAAGTAACCCAGAAGGGGCTGGGAGGAGAAACTGTGGAGTGAGTGAGTGAGTGAGTGAGTGAGTGAGTGAGTGAAGTGTCCGCTTAATAAAAGGTCTTGTGTCCAGTGCCCCCTTCCAACCTTTCTTCCCTTTTAGTTATTAACAAGAAATGTGGGAAGGTGAGGGAGATGAATTGAACTTGTTCTGACATCAGTTACAGAGAAGTGTGGTGACTTCCATAATGTTTCTGCCCCAGCGAGGGGTCGTTGGGAAACGTGTTGTGTGGTTGGGTGTTGTAGTGGAAAATAAAGGAGTGATCGAGGAGAACAGTGAAACCAAATTGTAGGCATAGATACAAGTGTGCTGAAGTTTTTAGCCACTTGCAGAATTGAGAGACACTATCAGGACTGTGCAAATACGTTGCTCTAATTAATTTTCCTGAGGTGAAGTAAGAAAATATTCATAAAATTGAGAATTCTGCCATGAATAAGTTTTTTTCTGTGATAAACTAAAATAAGCCATAAATTGTACCTACCTTAAATGAAACTAAAAATGTTTAAATAATAAAGAACTGAATAAAAAGATTTCACTGTGAGAGTAAAATCTGTACAGGCTTAAAATGGTAAAAGGTATTCAATAAACAAAGTAAAGATTAATTTATCTTAGAGGGTTTTATATTAGTTTTTTTTTAATATTGTTATGGAAGGGGTATTATCTTACCTTTTCTTTAGAACCCCTTTTTATGTATAAAAAGCTAGTTTTTCAATATTAAGGTATAAAGGGTGTTCAAGTTTAAAAGAATTAGCCCTTTAGTTTTAATGATATTGAAAAATTCAATTATAATTTAGAATGACTGTATTTGATTCCAGTTTTTCTTTTTAGATGTGAAATAAAAGATTTTATTTGTATATTCTTTTGTAGATTTCTTAAGAATATATTTGAACAAATCATTGACAGAAAAGAAGGGTTAATTGAGAAAGAAACATACTAATAGACAAAGTATTTCTCTTATATGAAGCTCCAGAAAGATTCTATTGTCAATCCAAACAGAACAAACTGAAATGAGATAATTGGGAAGGTGGCCATAAAGTCAGCCTGAATATATTATCACAACTATATATGAGATAATATTTGTTTTAAAAAGATTCTATGGCACTGTAAACTCAGTCTCATTAGAGACTGCATTTAAAAGGCTTATAAAGTTACTCATTAATGTTATCTTGTTGTATCTCCACAGCTTTTTCATTAAAGAAAATTCAGCAGAAAGCATTTTCTCCTGATAGCAGGAACCAATTTGCAATAAATGTTCTGGAAACCACTAGGGAAGCCATTACTGAGGTCTAATAAAAACAGACAAGCGTAACTTGTTCTATATTTTTGTTTCAATCACATACAGATGAGACCCCGCTTTCCACACCAACCGCAAGAGACAGCCTTGACAAACTTTCTCTAACTGGGCATGGACAACCACTGCCTCCGGGGTTCCCTTCTCCGTTTCTCTTTCCTGATGGACTGTCTTCCATAGAGACCCTTCTGACTAACATACAGGTAGGCAATCTGGAAGGAAGGAACACAGAAACCCAGGTGTGGATTTTTTCCAAATTCATACTTTTCCCGGTTAATCCATTCATATGTTTGACTGGACCATGGTATTCAACTCTTTTCAGCAATTCAAGATTTTAAGCTTGCTGCAGTAATCAAATTGGTTAAGAAATACACACATGTGTATATCAAGCCTTAATAAAAATTTGGATGAAAGTGACCTGGGCGTTTTTTTTTCTTGTTTGTTTGTTTGTTTTTGTTTGTTTTTAAAAAGCATGTTGCCTAAATGTTCTCCTTATTGCTTACTAATGGGACAAATTTAAATGTTTAAGTTTGTCTGATACACTAAATGACAGCACGCTAGTTCTAATAAATATTTAGTTATTTTTAAACTGTTGGACTTCCAGCAAGGAAATGTTATGTTTAGTCATTTAAATATGTCTAGTTTAAAAGAATCCAAAAACATCTTTTCTTTCATAAATACATTTGTTTCAGTTAATAGGGTTTCTTCAAAGAATAGACTTCAAAAAGCCATACAAAACTTTCCACGGATTTCCTATGGAGTCCTCAGGATGTATATTTTACGTACAGTACATTATGAATCAAAAATACTTGCAGTTAACAATAACAGAGAGCAGGGAGCCAAAATAATAAGAGTGTGTGGGATAAAAGAAAGTATAATTTTCTTGCCCACACATGAAGTGATCATGTGGACCCCAGATGGAGAATTTTGCCATCTACCCCATGTCTGGAGGAACTAGTAGTAAGAATGTGCTTGCAGACACTGTGCTGGTAATAGATACATTGTAATTTTTACTCTACTCCTTCCTTAGAGATATTTTCTGTACACATTTCCTACCATATTAAACTTTCTCCCAGTAGAAAAGTAATTAATTTTATTTACCTCTCCAAGGACATAACAGAAGGCCTTTAATGTAACATATCTTCTCATCTATTAATATGGCATTTTTAATACTAATGTAATTAGAGTCTCCAGAACTGTATTCAACTTTAAGGTTTTATATCTTGGTAATTGAAATAAATCATCAATCTAGCCTAAATTTAATCAAGGCCAAATAGTTGATTATATTTTAAAGCAAACATAAGACTTTTACTAAATTTGACCCGTACTATTTTTGTTATGAGGTAGATGTTGACAATTTTCCCCTTTTGTTAAATTAAAATGCTTTCAGAACATTTTTTAATTTGCACTGTGATGAGTAAGGGAACGATTGATTTTTTTCTTATATATACAACTCCATATGAAGCATAAACCGAGGTGAGGCATTTCACCTGAACTTCTCCATCCAGTTGTGTGCATCATCACTGAAACCTCTTTAACAAGTAGATTGGTAATTTAATTTTAATTTCAGCAGAGACAATATTACTGGATTTCTTCTGTATAAAACCAGCTTGTTCAGCTGGAGAGTGGGTTTGCACATGGACTCTTCCGTTGTGTGAACACCACATCTCTGAAACAAATACTTTCAATTTTGAGGCATTCACACCCCCCCCCCAGTATTACTAAAACAAGAAACATTATCTACATCACTCAAACTGTAACTGCTTCTTAAAAAAAGGGGGAAAGAAAACTATAGTGTTACAATGTATACACTTAGACAGTATTTATTTTATTGAAGGTATCTCTAGGTCTAATATACTCTGCTTTCTGAACTCTAGCCAGCCTTGAAAACATATTTGAGCAAAAATTGATGATAGGATGATAGTTAAGGCAATCTAAATTATTTCTAGTTTGAAATCATGAGGATCTGGGACGGATAATGTTAGAACACCTACATTAAGAATACTTCATTATAAATAAATTATTCCTGTCCACTACAGTCTTATATATATGTAATATGAATATAGATGTAGCTAGTATATATTTATGTATTTAATATATATTTAATATATACATGTGCATTTGGGCATGCACATATGTGTACATAAGATAAAACAACACAACTTTATACTCACACACATGCCAAATACATGTATACATGCACACATATACACACATACATACATACTTGATTTGTGGTTAGTAATGGTTTTGCAGAGGTCATAGATGCTAGCTCTTTTAATATTGCCACATTTATTGAGTTATAGTAATATTCTTAGAATGGTATAAAATGTTTATTCAGTCATGACCCTGACTTATTGGGCATAAAGTATAAATGTGTTTGCTGTCCAAATTCTAATTTTGGTAATTACATTATGCCCACCTTAATTTCCTCTGCAATTTCAATTATATGCAGTGGTTCTCTGCTTTTTATTTCTAGACAGTAACATTTTTTGGTAAGTTTAAAGCTCCATATTTCCTTTGGAGGTATTTTATCAGGATAACAATGGAAAAGAATGAGTTGAAAATGTTTACTTTTTCAAATCACATACTTTTATGCCTGAAACTAAAGATTTGTAATGCACATTTGCTATTTAGTTAAACCCAAGGCATCAGGTTATATTTAAACTTAATGTACACAAATTCTATTTTTTCTTAGAATTAATGACCAAAAAGACCTTTAAAAATAATGTTTAAGGAGCAATTGTTTAATATTCAATAATTTAATTTCATGATGGGCTATAATTTAATAATCCTCAATTTTAAAATATGTTATGGTTGCTACAGATGTTCCTTCTATGACACATTATAAAATTTGAATTTTCATAAATGTTACTTTTTGTGTGTGCTTTAAAAAAGAACCTGTAGAATAATACTATATACTAGTATACCAGTATTTGTAAATATACTATATATAGTATAGAAAAACACTATATATATTGTGGGCACCATATTTTTATTAACTCTTTCTTGAAAGTTGAGTGTTTTAGAAATTAAAAGTAATAATGGATAAAGATATCTATAGTAAATGATAGTTTTTCACATTAGTGAGAGATATGATACACTCTTGATTTTGCTTTTCAGGATTAAAAATATGTTCATTTTATATGAAATTTTATTTGTTTTTTCAAATGTGGGAAGTCTTTCACATGGCTTTGTTATTCAAACATGTCCCTACAGAACTCCCTGTGAAATTTCAGGTGATTCCACCAGAAACGTAGTGTCAGTTTACTAGATGTGATACCTTCAAACATCAACTACCATTTAAACACACTCAGATGAGAATTTTACTCAGTATTCTTCATCTCAGCTTCATGCAGTCACGACAGCTAGGATGATATGTACATTGATTTGGGAACAAATATACATTGTGAATCTCATTACAGAAATTATTTAAAGTGACTTATAAATATTAAAATAAGAATATGTAAATAAGTAAAAAGTAGAAATATAAAACAAGGGTTGAGAATATAAAATTCAGTTAAGGATGAGGTTGGCATTGAAGATCTGTGCCATGGAGTTATACAACAGGGGTTCGGGTCTCTGTAGTTTGTCCACATAGCAGGATTAAACAAAAAAGAAAGTCCTAAAAATAATGTTAAAACCACAATAAATGGCAGATTAATTCATTATGGTTTAACAAACACACATAGTCCAATTGTGCTATTTAAGAAGTATGCTCGCCCTGGCCGGTTTGGCTCAGCGGTTAGAGCGACGGCCTGCGGTCCTGAGAGACCCGGGTTCGGTTCCCACTAAGGGCACGTACCTCAGTTGCAGTTTGTCCCCGGCCCTGGTGGGTTGTGCGGGTGGCAGCCACTCGATGTGTTCCTTTCACATCGATGTTTCTCACTCTCTCTCCCTTCCTCTCTCTCCCTCCCACTCTACCTGAACAGAGAATGGAAAAATGTCCTCAGGTGAGGATAAAAAAAAGAAGTATGCTCTACTTCTGTGTTTGGGGAAAGAGAATGAAAAAGAATTTGTCTTAGTATTAAGACTGGAATACTCTGATCTTCTAGTCTTTACATTTTGATATCATGGCCAATAATGATAAATTTCATACATCCTAAAGAAATTAACTTTAAAATTCCCATTATTAATACATAATTGTAATTATAATAGAGTTAGACACATGAATTAGGAGGAAACTTTTCAAAAAGATAAAATAACAGAGTAGAGCATTGGCTTAAAACTGTGAGTAAGCTGAGATCAGACATGTTGTTCTTAAATTATATCTTTTTACCTTTAATTATAATTATGTCTTGTCTTCTCCCTTTTATTCCTATTACCAACTTGTAAAAAGAGATCATAAAGAAATCGCAGTAAAATGTGTCTAATATTCTAAAGACAGTGTACTAAGATGAAGAGGATGGCATTGAGTTCTTTAAAATCTGGAGTACATACCATATTTACTGTTTTATATCATAAATACTCTGCTACAACACTATGTCACTGCTGGCATTTCTGGTCTGCAATATCTGGTTGTTTAGCTCACACTGAGCAATTCTGCAACACTATTTGGGTGCCCCACAGTGTAACTCAGTTCTTACACGATCTTCCTGGCGAATCAGTTCCACCAGACGGCCCTCGCCCCCACGTCATATGCCAATTGAAAGTCCAGTTTTTAGCTTGTGCTTCTGACCAACTGGCTGGAGACCAGAGGTTCCCATGACCCACTCCTCAGGGTCCTTGCTAGAGCAACTCACAGGACTTAGGAAAACATTTTACTTGCTAGTTTATTATAAAAAGTTATATTTCGGGAGCAGCCAGATATAAGTGATGCATAGGGCGAGGTTTGTGAGAAGAGGCTCAGAGCTTCCTTGCCCCCTGTGGGCACAACACCCACCCAGCACCTTCACTTATTGACCACCCAGATATTCTCCCTTTTGAGATTTTATGAAGGTTTCACTTAATAGGCACAATTGATTAAATCATTCTTCATGGATGGCTAATTCAACTGCTAGCCCCTCTGCCCTCCCTGGAAATCAGGAGGGTAGGGCTAAAAATTCCAACCCTCTAATCATAGACGGCTCCCCCTCAACCAGCCTCTATCCTTAGGGGCTTTCCAAGAGTGACCGTGTTAAAATAAACTCGGGTGTAGTTGAAAGGGACTTACTATGAATAATGAAAAACACCCACCTTACCTTTATTGTTCTTATCACTTAGGAAGTTCCATCCAATGTAGGATGAGATGAAGATTATATACCTGTATCTGTGTATCTATATCTATATATTATATATAACATATACCTTAGTATGATCACACTGTGTGTGTAAATCACAGTATCACAGCCAGTCTTCATGCTAATTATATACAATATTATATGAATCTTCTTTATAACCCTACACAGTAGATTTGTTATCTCCATTCTACAGATGAGAAAATGGAGGCAGATAAGCCATTTGATCATGGTCACTCAAAGATGGTGATACCTGAATTTAAACAAAGGTGGGCTAATTGCAGAGCCCATGTCGCCATATTGCCACACAGATCGTATGAACCACAGGATGGGGTTATATCTAGAAGTGCTTTTGATGGAGAGCCCATCATTGATCCACTTTGGAGAATAGTAACCATAATATTAAACCAAGAATAGCTGTATCTTTTTTTATAAGAACTTCTGTGAAAAATGAATCAGGTGATACTCTTTCATCATGATTTTTGCTGTCTACATAAGTTCTGATTTAAAGAGACACTATTTTTTCTCATCCTGGAAAGAAACATTAAAAGAAAAAAAATAAGGTTAAATAAACCTATTTTGCTAAAATAGGCGTAGTGAATTTACTAATTTGGGATCTTGAACAAGTATCCTGATCCTCCTGGACCTTGGTGTTCTCAACTTTAAGAGGTTTTAGTTAAAATGGATGATTGCTAGAACCCCCTTGGACAAGGGTACTTATTCTCTTTAGAAGAAGTGACACATCTCTTTAGAAGAAGTGAGCACAAATTTTGCCACTTGAGTTTTACTGACACTCAAGGAAACTTACCATTTAATTCTGAAATAAACATATGTCTAAAATACAAACATGGACCGAGTAAACTTTTCCTCTGTGATCTAACTAACATATGAAGAAATTTCATATTAGTATTACTTTAGATGCTCTTATACCAGCAGAGATTTGTACTTTCTAGGCTATAACAGAAATAGTTGAAACATTGCTAGATCAATTACAGTGCCCCCTTTAAAAGAAATATATAGAGACCCATTCTGTGAATAATTATGAAAATAATTTAATTTACAAGGTAGATCATTTTGAAAACAAATGTACTTGTTTGTTCTGACGATCATTATGCCCCATTTATGGGAAAGAAATTTGGGACCAAACATCTCACAATTGCTATGATTGTAAGCCTAAGGTGCATTTCTTCAGAATAGTCATTGTTCAACTTCAAGATCAGGAGAGCTGACCTCCCTTTGGAGAAAAACTCGCGTTTTAAACCTTTGTCTTTTACTGCAATTTGCATTGTCATCACCGAATTTTGCTCCATACCACATGTCCACCTGAGACCCAGCATTTGGCATGAGCTTTTGCACACGAGCTACCTGCAAAATTTACAGGAATTACACAAATCTGAAGCGACTAAAGCCACTGGTAGTCAAAATGGTGTCCTAATGATTTGTAGACGTTCTGAGCACTGCTTGCCATTGCTTGTCCCAGCCCCTGCTGCAATGAAATGTAATCGTTGTCTTTTTTTTTTTTTTTTTTTTTCTGTATTTTTTGCAGCAGGGCTGTCATGGGCAATAACATATTCTTGCATATGCATCAGTTTGGCTCTAGTGCAGATTTTTGTTCACATTGGACTCCTACTGATGTGCACTGATTTAAAGTCTAAAAATGAAACTTAATTTTATACAGCTTATAAAGTAGTCCCTAGAGGGTATTGGATCCTAAAAGCTAATATTTTTCAGACATAATCAGCAGGAATAGGTAATGTATTACCATTAGCCACATTAGCAGCAACTGTAACAAAAGGAAGCAGTCAACATAAATGCTCTTAGCAACTTCATACTTTACAAGAAATATTAATATAAAATAACACAAATTAGGGTTGCAGTTTAATGTTATTCAACATGTTTATTCATAATGATTGTTTCATATTTAAAGAACACCAAAATATTGTGTTTTGTCAGCCAAGGACAATAATAGTTTAATAGTAATTTATTTTAAACAGATACTGATAATACAACCAATCAACACATTAAGTAGTGCCAACATTGGCATCTTGCTAAATAATCTCTAGACATTGCAGAGAGTACATCTTTCAAAGATAAGTCAACACGAGCAATCAGAGCAGAAAATTAGAATTTGGTATCTTAGAAATAAAATACAGCTAAACTAAAGTTTTAATTGGGGTGATCTAAAAGGGCATTTGATGTAATGATCTCTTTCATTTGTTACTAATTGTTTGTTCCCGATAAAGAAAAAGACATATGCAGGAATGCTGCTGGACTGAGTGGAGATGGCAGTTTCCTTAGCAGCTATGTTTTATTGTTAAAAACAAAAGCCGAGGGAGGGGCAGACTGTCACGTAGAAATCCTTCAGCTTGTTTCATATCACCGTAATTAATCCAGGGAATTCAGGGTCAGGTATAACGAACGTGAAATGATTTATGTGTGCTGGAAAAGAGACTACAGGTGGCTAGGACGACGCTACATGGGTAGGCTGAAAGAAGGGACTGTCTCTTTTGTGCTAACAAGTCAAGGTGGAGTTGCCATTTCTGATTCTGGCTGCTTATGTTGCCTCCTGCAAAGGGGTCACATCATGGAGTAGATCTACAGATGGTACCAACTTCCATTTCACATATTATTTTAATAGAAAATGTCACACTCTGATGTGCATAGACTAAGGCTAAATATCTTCTACTTCCAAATCGCTTTTTGTTCTCTTGAGTTGCTAAAAACAGAAATTTTATCTTTCATTTTTACTGATAATTTTCTAAAATATTTGAGGAGAGAACACAGGCAGCATGCTTTGTCTATGTTTTAGATATTCTCATAATCTCATTTTCAAAAATCTCAGAATATTATTAAATTAAAAAAATAGCCTACAGTAAATCAAATTTTATATATATATATATTATTCCATAATCAGTTGAACAAATAAACCTTGCTTTTACCATTTGTTCATGAATTACTACACTGCCAAATAGTCTCCTACTAGTTATTCTTTATCATAACCAATTTTAATTACTTTAAAACACTAACGCACTTAAGTCACTAAGTCTTAGATTCTTTACATATAGTATATATCTCAAGAAAACTATAGCATTATTATAATTTTTATTCATCAGATGTTTAAAATCTACTGTATTTTAGCCCCCGTAGGGACATAGTCCAAATGTGAGAAAATGTCCCTGCCTCCAAGAGCTTACAGTCTAGTACAGAGCTCACAGTTACGCTGTTTACAACTTAAAGCAATAAACAAATATTTGACGTTACCTAATAAATGCTATGAGGAAGTTTAAGATGGAAACGACAGGATGTACTGAGAGGGCTATTTCAGATAGACTGGTGAGAGCAGGCCTTTCTTGAGTGGTGACTGAGCAAAGAGGAGATGAAATGAGGGCATGAGCCACACAAAAATGGGCGGAAGAGCATTCAGGAAGGGAACAGAAAGAGCACAGTTCCTGGTGCAGAGGCAAATTGGTGCCTTAAGAAACATAAAGAAGCCCGCTGTGTCTAGAATAATGTTTGTAGGGCATGGTGGTGAATGAGCTCCAAGAGCTAGGTGGGCACTGCCAGGAATACCTGGGGTTGCATGAACCATGTCAGATAATTACCTGTGGAGTTTCAGTCTGATTTTAACTCGGGTCTTATTCTTTAGACATGCTTATGTGCTGCCTTTGTTTAGCTTTAGATGAAATATCCTGATTAGAAGCAACTGAACCTGAATGCCCAAAGCATTTGTCTTCCTAAAATATTTTCATTAGATTTAGGAATTGTGTGCTTCAACTATAGTACTTGTCTTAGTGAGCACAGAGTGGATGCACAGGAAGGAAAGAATTTATTAAGTGGGTTCTTCTCTTTTAAAATGCTTTTAAGTAATGAGTGAAATAGACTTTGTACCAAAATATTACAATTCTGAATGCCTTCTTTGTACAGGGGCTCTTGAAAGTTGCCATAGATAATGCCAGAGCTCAAGAGAAACAGGTCCAACTGGAAAAAACAGAGCTGAAGATGGATTTTTTAAGGGAACGAGAACTAAGGGAAACCCTTGAGAAGCAGCTGGCCATGGAACAAAAAAATAGAGGTATTTTCAAACTTCAAATAAGTTTAAAATATTTATGTAAAATATTTAAAATAACAGTACTATGCTTGGTGATTTACTGTGAGACTATATATTTTTTGTTTGTTTTTTATCTGTAGCTAATGTTCAAAGTAGAATTTGAATCCTGGGCTCGTTATATTTCTTAATCTCCAATGTCCGTGGTGTCTCTTCTGTTTGTACTTCAAGATATTGAAGTAAATCCATTATATTATTAGATAATTGTCATTGTTTATGCATTTACAAATTCATATTTTTAAGGTAGACAGCCATAAAGAAAACTTTTATATTTATTCACAATTGCTCTTTGAAAAACTTGAGTTAAAGTCATAAAGCTAAGGTAAAAAGTACTGATTATTCAAGTGAAACAGATTTAGTAAGATATTTATTAAATGAAATTGAAGACTGATGAATATATAAACAAATGACCAAAGGTGAGTGTTTCTATAATAATCCTTTTGAAAGCCTCATTTTTATCCAACAAGGTCAAGTACACATTAGAATAGAAACCAACATGAATGTTTACTGGGTAAAAAAATAATAATATTATCAATCTCTTAATTGATTCTTTTAGCACACTTTACAGTGTATGTATACATAATTTTGAAGGTCATTTATATGTGTGTGTTTATTTTATGCATGAGAAGAGCGTTTTGTTTAAAACCAAATTCCCCTTTGCTTCAACTATAAGTTTCTCCTAAGTAGCTTAAAAAGAGTGCTTCTTTTCTCTCATTTAATGAGAATTCATAATAAACACTACACATATTCTCCTTTTATATGTTTGGCATGGTCATTTAAAAATCGTTGTTCTGTTTGCTTTTAAAACTGGCAAGACAGTGGGTTTTTTCATTCGTTACTATAAAGCAACAGTTAGTTTGTTTCCTGGGATGAGGTTGATTTGGGAAATGTCACCCCAATAGTACAGTTCTGAATAATGTGGCTTCACACAGGTTTAGATACTAAAATAATCAAAACAAGATCAATATTGACAATGGGGTATGTTCTAAGCGCATAATGAAATATGGTTGGAGTTCATTATATGGAACTGTATTCTGTGAGACAGCCACGTCTTGATTTCGTTTGCACCTGGAAAAACCTTCCTTTCTTTTTGTAAGACTTAAAAGGCAGATCCTTGAATTCCTAAATTCGCTTTTGGTTCTTTGAGGGACCTTAAGAGTTCTATTGGTTGAAATCTGCTGGAGGATTTACACTCTGTTTTACTTCTTTAACCACTAGAGGGCAAAACATTTCACAGATCACACCATGACCCTCCCATTTAATTAATTGTGAACAATAAATTAAAGGTAATAACTGTCAATAATTATCTCTTATGAATGTGACTACTGAAGCAATGTATTCTCCTGAAGAGAGAACGTGGCAATCCCGTTTGGTCCAATCAGTAGGATTGAGCGGTCAGTGACAAGGCGATGGGTATTGATTGAGCTTTTAGTGCCCTGGGAGTGTTTTTGTTTTTTTTGTTTTTTTTTATCGAAATAAAGAATTCATACATTACTGCTTCTTTTCCAAAAGACTTACTAACAATCATCTTTGGAAAGGGAAATAGTAGGCAGTGATTTTGTGAAGATAAGCATACAATTTTCACACTATTAAATAAAGAAAATTAGCATATTTATTTAAACTAGTTTTGTTTTTCCTATAAGACTGTAGCCAATGTACAGATTCTGTTAATATGCGATACCAGCAACAGTAAACTCAATAAGTAATTGTCCACCGTCTTAACAATATTAATACTTATATAAATGGGAGATGTGGACATTAGAAATTAAAACTAGAATTCTTTCTTAAATCATATCACCCTATTTTATTTTTTCAAATATGTTTTTATTGATTTTTTAGAGAGAGAGGAAGGAGGAGAGAGAGAGACACAGTGATGTGAGAGAGAAATATCGATCGGCTGCCTCCTGCACGCCCCCTACTGGAGATCGAGCCCACAACCTGGGCACGTGCCCTGACAGGGAAACAACCGGGACCTCTCAGTCCATGGGCCGGCGCTCAATCCACGGAGCCATACTGCCTAAGCCATGTTACCTTATTTTATATATAGACTAAATACTGTGTTTAAGAAATGTTTTTCTTCTTTAATCTATAGTAAGAAATCAAATAGTATACTTGGAATGATTACTCCTTATTACTAACTCTACCAGAAGGATTTTCTCATACTGATTCTGTCCCGTTTAAGTCGACATGTTTAAGAGCCATTAAAAAAAAAATTATTTCAAAGAAAAACATGTGTATGCTTCCTACGTGCTGATTGCTTACTTTATATACATATTGTAAAAGTTAAAACAATTATCATACTGAAAATACAGTTAATATACATTTTAGGAAGAGCATTTATTTGTTATTATTGATCAATTTCATATTGTATACAAATATTTAAATAGTTCAATAAGGAAAAAATTTATCATCATCAACTTTTTGTATCATAATCCACTTTCTTATACCCTAGCACATTATTTTTAGCAATGCATAGTATTATTAGCAATGAAGTATTACACTTCACCAAATTCCTAAAGAGTAAAGTATAAGTTTCTTAAAATATGTTATATAATATAAATTTGCTGAGTTAATTATCATATGACTTCATCCAAAAAAAAGTCTGCTTATATATGTTAATAATAATTGAGAATATTTAGCTTGTTGTATACAATAATATTTTTACATTTCTTAAAATTTCAAGACAGAATTATTAAAAATGTAGCTGGTGTAATTTGTTTTGTAAAACATTTATAAGGGAAATGCCCTCATTTACCACTCAGAACTGGTGCTTCACAGACATGAGGCATACTTATAACTGTCTGCACTATTCTAAACTACTCGACAATGTTCTGATACAAGGACAGAGACTAAGTCCTCACATTCCTTTAATTAGACTTCCTTTATCAGTAAATTCAAATATTTACTAAAATTAGTTTCCCATTAAATCTGTCTCTACAGATGACAATGAAGGCCATTCTTACCATGTAATATAGTTCAAGGCTAAGTAAAAATTGGCCTCCTTAGATATTTTACTGAGATTATTATTATTTTTTTTTTAGGTAAAGGTAGGTTTTTTTTTAACTTCCTCAGTTGGGGGGAGTATGTCATCTATAAGTTTGAACATTGATAAATTTAAGAGAAAAAAAATGTCCACCCTCTTTTCTAGCCATAGTTCAAAAGAGGCTAAAGAAGGAGAAGAAGGCGAAGAGAAAACTGCAGGAAGCACTGGAATTTGAGACCAAAAGGCGTGAGCAAGCAGAACAAACGCTAAAACAGGCAGCGTCCACAGACAGTCTCAGGGTCTTAAATGGTAAGGGTGCATCCGTGTGCGTGGCCGACTAACGCGTTCTCAATGCTCGGAAAACAATGAAGACGTGCGTTTGTGGTTTTGTATCTTTCTACTCCCTGTCATTCATTCATCAGTGCTCATAGCCGACAGCGTGGTGTGAGGAACAGTCACGTGGGTTGGGGGAAACACATTATTTCATAGGTGCTTCCACTGTTTTGTTCCTAAACTCCAGTTATCTGGGACCTGACGTTGCTTCTCTGTTTAATCAAATCTTTCTGTACTGAAACATGATAAAATAGTAACCTGAGAAGTCTCCAACCCCCAACCATTTTATGAACAGATTTGTGTTTTTTATCGATTCAGACAGATTTTTTGATAATTCTCATGCTTATAGTCTTTGTTCAACCTTTAAAAGATGACAAAGATTTAGATCATTTTAATTCAGCACCAGAGTAACAGGTCCCTCTTTTTAAAAAGGATAATAGGAATCAAATGAAATGTGTGTCACTCTTACCTTTCTGTGCTTTTAGACTCTCTGACCCCAGAGATAGAAGCTGACCGCTCTGGCGGCAGAACAGATGCCGAAAGGACAATACAAGGTAGGAATTTGCAAAAGGCTATAAATCTAGATCTTGCTATATGAGTTTTTCCTCAGCTTTAGCCTGCTATTCAAGCATGTAGCCTACCATCTGGGCCACATCAAAACAAGTTCAAACAAGGTCAAGTTCATCTTGCTTGTTTATATGAGTGAATTCATTTTGTGCTGATAGATTTTCTTTAAATTAACAGGTCATTTCTGTTTATACAATGCAATTAAAAAGGAATAATTAATTTTATACAATGTATGATTTCATCTTGGACACAGTAAATGTGTTTTATTGAATGCTGGAGGCCCATCTAATGCAGGAAGGATTTATAAGTTCTATTCTATATAAATAAAATTATGAGTTAACCAAATAGGGTGTTCTTAACACTTGAAAATTTCTCCTTGTCGTCTGCTGACAGTTACTGCCGGGCACATGCAAACTAGACTAGTTGAATGTTAACAATAAATAAGATTATTTAGTCCTACGTGGATTTTCCAAATGTTCTGTATGCCATTATATGCATTTTAATAACATAAATCTGCTGAACAAAATCATATATAGAATACTAAGGGGAATTGTTATGCACACAGATGAGCTAAACAATAATAAATATATACATATATATACACATATATATATACACATATATATATACATATATATACACATATATATATACATATATATATATATATATATACACATATATAATGCCAAGACCACTTGATGAGGAAAGGACAAAATTTGAAGGTAGCATCTATAGTCTAACATCTATTCTAGACCGGAAACTCAATCTAGATTCATGAATACAGAAGAGTAAAAAGAGCATTTGTTTTTTATTTTAAATGAAGATAATTCTTCAAAGTGAAGCTTAAAAGATACACTGCTATAATCCTACCAGTTCTTTTATTTTAAGCTCAATCATGCTGGGGATATTGTTTGACATTAATTGTGTTACTAAATCAGTTTAAAATGTGTCATTCTTGGTTTAAAGGAAATATATATTTTTAAAGTCTCATTTATCTAATAAGTAAATATCAGACACTTGAAACATCCCTAGAGAATTTTTTTTGCCTATGTTTATTTTACCTGAAAACCATGATATTAATTTTTTTCTATTCTAAGCCTTGTACCATAAGTTATTCTGAGACTTCTCCTTGGATATCCAAGATTAATGCAACTGTACATGTAGAAAAGACTTTGTTTTTTAAGAGTCTTATGGATTTCAGCAAAACTATATATGTGTGTATATATGTTATTAAAATCATAAGATTTATATTACATCTCTTTAAAAATGGTATACAGATATTAACCAATTCTTAACAAAGCCAGTCCCCTTGGTCAGAGGTGATGACCTTAGTAAGGCCAATGTAAATATCAATCCTGGCTTGTGTGAGCAGGGATTGGTTACTCATGCGCTGATTTAGCTAGTGTCCAAAGTAGTCTAAGAAAGCGCATGAATTTCCAGGTAGATGCAATATGTAAGTTACCTGGTGTCTACAGAATTCTCAAGATGATCAGAACTCAATCTAAGAAAAATTATAGATAACATATTCTTGCACATAAATGGAAGATTTGTCGTTAATATTAAGAAATGTCTAAGCAATGATGAAACATGTTTGCACAGTTTACACAAGATATGTTTTATGAATTTGCTATCAGAAATATTTTAGTTATTAATAAGGCTATAGTTATTCTTGTTTAAATCTTTCAAGTTCACATATATTCAAATATACAGTTTAATATGAATAAAATCTTGCTGTATGAGGTTGAAATATTGAGACTTATCTTTCTAGTGTGATTCATTTACTCTTAGGAAAATTTTTAATCATAAATTGCCTTATTTGTACTAGTCAGAATGTTATCAGTTTGGCAACATAGAAAACCTACTTCATAATTAAGGAAACAAAACATTTCAACAAGTATACATAGTAACTCGAAGCTAAATATACATGATTATGAGGTTACTTATTGCTTTGATTTAATTGTAATATGAAATCATTCATTCATTCAGACTGTCAATTAAAGTGATGTATCCCTTGAGTTTAATGCGAATAATCAGTTTTCCAGTTTTTGCATATTTACACTTAAATTTAATCATTTTAAGAATATTTAATGCACAGTTGATTTTCAGTAAAACTCAACTAATATTTATGATTTTAATTAGATATGATGATTTTTATCAAATATAACTTAAGAAATACTGTCCATAAATCTGTATTTCTGAGTGTTAGTTGCTAAAAAGTTATTTCACCAGCAGTTGAACTGCCCGGACTTAAAATATGACAACAAAGAGATCCCCTTTTGCTACTCTAATTCTACTAAATAAGCTCAGTTAGCCCTTTGCAGTTTTCTTTTTCTAACCTTAGCTACAAAATTCATATATTTGGAAGCTAACAAATAGAACAAAATAATCAAAGGAAAAGGACTGTATTTAGTTAAGTTCTGAGTCTAAGCACAAAACTGGGAAAGGCAAGGGAGACGGAACCAGAACTCATCACCGACTCGTGAAATGGTCTAAGTCAGGCATTTTGGGGGCCATGGGCACCTGCTGCCCCACAGTTCAGGAGAGACACAGATGCCACCTCTTGCTCCCTTAGCCTTCTCTCTGTGTCCCCAAGCCCGAGTTTTGATACTCTTTCTTGCTCCCATTTCAACTGAAATTATTCTCTATTTCACAATAAACTCAACTTAGAACAAAGGAAACCCACATTTCTTCATGCTATCATGTATGTACTTATTTTTAACATTTGGCAATTAAAAAATGTCATGGTTGGCCCAAGAATCAGTTACTTAGAAGTCAGGCACTTCAATACCACACAAGTGCTCAGTAATCACCTCCTATAAGCACTTCGGGTTAGACTGGATGATGCTCATTGGTGTTAATTCCACAATTTCTGTGAAACTACAGAGGAGGGGAGAGGAAACAGGAGAGCAGTTTAGAAAGTATCCCTGAAAAAAGAGGCCCTAAATAACGTATTTATCTTGATAAGCAAGATATATCAGTTCGTAGTACACAGGGATACATACTTCATTGCTGATACTTCTAATAACTAACTCAAAATGTATGAGTTTAAAGGAGATACTGTGATTGTAGGATAAACATACAAAATTAAAACACAATAACTTGTTTTAGGAGCTGAACTGCATGGTGACTAACTTTCTTATACCTGGAGTCTTACAGATTTATGTATATGTCCTGATTTATGTTGGAGTTTGAAAAATTTATCTTACGTTTAAGCTTTCTGTAACATCGTTTCAATATATAGAGTAGACATTGTATGTATAAATACTCACTGAGCAATTTTTGGACTAGTCATTAAATGTCTTCCAATGCCCCTTCTGTATGTGTGGCTACACCTACACATACTATGCAGCCAAATCTGTCCTGCAATGGCTTTTAGTACGTCCTATCTCTTTATTCTCGGTCCCTAAGGAAAAGCAACCCTAATTGGATTAATGTGTACTTTGATAATTTTGAAAAGTATCTTCTCAGCCCATTCAGACATCTGTTAAGAGCTCCATATATTTTTCAACAGAAAGGATCCAACCCCCTGCTCCTGCGAACTGTCTTCCTCCAGTGCTTCCTTCCTATGTGTCCCTCTCTGTCCGGTCCGACATCCTCTTTACTATGTCATGAGGGGAGAGCTGGCTTGGCATTTCCCTTCCAGACCCCTAACGTCCAATTACAACTCTTCCCCCTCATTGTCTGCACTTTTTATTATACTGGAATTTTTTTGATTTCCTGAAGGCCTCACGTTTTTCTCCCTCTTCGGGAGATATTTCCCCTCTTCCCTGCCTTTACTTCCCATCCTTTGAGTCTCATCTAAGAAGCGACTGCATTCCGGGATGCTTCTTGGACTTCACACCTGCCCTGGCTGCACCTTCCTGCCCGCTGGCTCTAGTTAAGCCTCTTAGAGGCTGTTTCCACACCTTTCCCTGCTCCACAAAACATGCTGTGTACTTCTAGTTCCTTGTTCAAGTCTTCTTTCTCTCCGCAAGGAGCCAGCAGAGCGTGAAACACGCCCGTTTTGTTTACGACAGTACCCTAGTGCCCAGCAGAATGTTTGACACAGCATGGTGCCTGCTGCATATTGCTAAAGAATTGTATCAGCTACTGAAGAATTAGGATCTATATTAGATCTCGTGGATGCTGAGGATTCTATTGTTCTGACACTTCTCAGTTTAGTTGGAGAGACTAATGGGAGCAAATAAAGGATAATAGGATTCTGCCTAGCAAAGACGGAATTACAAATTCAGGCAAATTAATATTATTTCTGATAGCTGAATTAACACTACGTGTTTATTCTTCTTGTGGGAATTTCTAATAATTCTTTCTTTTTGCACATGTGGCCCAAGATTTGGATTTTGTGAATATTCACTTACACTTAATTTTTTATTATATATTTATAGTTAATTTAACAGAATAGAGTCACATTTCTTAAATAACACCTTCTTCTTTGGTTTAATGTACATTAACCTTATGCTTCTTTTTAAATATATTTTATATAATTTCAAATGATTGAAATTTCCACATATATTGTTTAGGTGATCAATTAATATATAGACATGAACTATGTAACATGGGAGGATTCATAAATTAGGCCTGTTTTATCTACGTCTTTTATAAATTTCCAAAATCTCTGCAAAGTTCACTTTGAAATAATACCTGTTGTTTTTTCTTTCTGAATAAAAAGCTGTTCTTTTAAAACAAAAAGTAGTTGTTAATCAGAGGGGAAGGGGGTTGGGGGTAGGTCTAGGTAGCCAAGGGGAGATAAAGGGGGAGGGAAGAGACTGTGCTTTAGTTGATGCGTATACAATGCAGTGTGCAGATGGTTTTGTTGAGTTGTACACTTGAAATCTCTATGGTTTTGTCAACGAATATCACCCCAATAAATTCAATTTTAAAAAGTAATTGTTCTTGGCCAGTTTGGCTCAGTGGTTGAGTGTCAGCCTGTGGACCAGAGAGTCCCGGTTCGGTTCCCGATAGGAGCACGTACCACCAAAAAAAA